ATTTATCAATTGGCTACAAGTGTAATTTTCTTATCAACAGAATCCCATAACCCATCAGCAAAAACAAAAGCAATGGATACTTTTGAAAAATTTAAGGAAGTTATTAATTCTGGATTTGGATTATCTATTGAAGAAAATATTCTTAAAGGAATTTATGAAAGGACAACCAAAGAAGCATTTCATCTTCCCAAAATATCTATTGTTCAACAAATCAATGAAACGAATAAAAATGAAATTCAAGGAAAGAAAAGAATACTTCAAATTAAATCTGATTTAGAAAAAATGAAAGATTATTGTTTTGCTAAATTAAAAGGATCTACATTCACACCATTTATATTAGAAAAGTCAACATCTGTTCCATTAAAATTATATGAAATTATTGCAGTTCCATTAGCAGAATCAGTTAAAAGAACATTTGAAAATATTGATAAAATGGAAGATGTTAAGTTAGTTCTTCAAGGATTAATTGATACAATTCATATGGCTTGCATTCTAAGACATGAAACAAAACCAAAAATTATAAAAGCGTTATTATCAATTACTCATCTTGATATTGTAAATACTATATCACAAAGAAATGTTATTGCTGTACAAACATTAATTGATGTTTGTGTAACTGACTTTGAATATCTTGAAGATTGTTGGGAAGATTGTCTTCAAGTTATATTAAAAATGGAACGTTTACACATGTTAGCTTCTGGATGGAAAGAAGAATCTAATAAAGTTCCAATTAAAGAACAACGAATAAAAAGATTTGAGTATTCTTCTGATTATAAAGGACCAGTAAATGAACGTGTGTTATTAACTGAAAATGTTCCACAATGTATTCTTGATATAGGAGATGTTGAATTAGGTAGTGTTTATAATACAATAGATTTTTCTGATGAAGCAATTGTTTATTTCTTTAAAGGGTTATGTGGTGCTGCAACAAAAGAATTAGAAGCACCTATTCCTAGAATATATATTCTTCAAAAACTAGTCATTTCAGCGGAAGCAAATATTGGAAGAAGTGAAGTTGTTTTCCAGAAAATATGGAGGTATTTAGTTCCATTTTATATTCGTTGTGGGTTACATCCAATTGAAGATGTTGCTATGTCAGTGTTAGATAACCTTCGACAATTGACAATGAAATCAATGATGAACCAAGAAATTTCTGTTGAAAACCAAAAGGAGTTTTTAAAACCTTTTGTTGTTATTATTTCAGACCATCCAAGTGTTAATGTAAGAGAATTTGTTATTCAAGTTCTTCAACAAATCTTAACAAATAAGAAATGTGGAGATAATTTAAAGAGTGGATGGGAAACATTATTTGATATAGTTCTGTTTGCTTCTGTTGATGAAGCTAGAGTATCAATTCTTGCTTTCCAATTTTTTAAACAAATATATAAATTATTTGAGAAATGTCCTTATTATGAAAAGTATTTCTTCTTATTCCTTAGATGTTTAAAATCATTTGGAAGACTTGAGTCTGTTGAAGAAGTTGGGTTACAAGTTAATTCTTTGATTCAAATGATTTTAACAAATTTCTTTGCTGATAAAAAAGAAGTTAAATTAAATGATAATTGTTATAGGAATATCATTCCAATGTTCAAAGTCTTATCAACAAATATTCATTCATTATATATTTCTGTTGCAACAAATTCTATAGAAATATTTTTTGGGTTATTAAGATCAATTAGTAGTGTTACTACTCATGAACTAATGGAAACAATATTAACAGATTGTGTACTACCATTATTTACTACTGAAATATCAAACCAATGGGTAAGTAATATTTGTGAAATTCTATTTGTCGCTACTCTTGATTTCTTATTAGAACAACATGAGTATTGTATGTTATTAGTTGATCTTATTGAATTTGCTTTTTATGTTATATTTCATGAAGGACCTGCTTTTTCTTCAGCTGCATTATCGTTTATTAATCAATTTATTGGTGGAGTTGCAAATACTAATGACACTGTACTAATGCACTTATTTATTGAGAAATTTTCTGTATTTTGTACATCGATTGTTCAATTTATACCTATTTATAATAAATATCAGTCTGATAGAACAACAGAAGTTATTCCAACAAAGGAAAAACAATTAAAAGGAAAATGTATGATTTGTATAAAAGAAGTTATTAGTGAATACTTAATGACATGTCCAATTTGTGGTAAACAAAAATACTGTTGTGAAGAATGTTATATCAAAGATACTCAATCACATAAAAATATTTGTTTACAACAAATTAAATTAAAACATCTTTCATTAGTTACTGAACAAGAATTTACTCAATCATTACCACAATTTACATCTTCGTTAATAGAAAAAATTTCAGGAATTAATAACGTTTCACAAGCATTATTTGCTTTATTTAATATACTTACTAAAATTATTTCTGATGATGATATGGTAATTTTATTTACTCAATTAACTAATGTATTCAATGAATTATTCAATCTATTCAATAAACATCCAGATGATGTAAATTCATTAGTTAAAGCAGAAACACTTATTGAAATTTATGATTTATATGTTGTTCAATTATTTGAAATGTATTTAAATATTTTTACTAGCGATAAACACCACAGAGAATTAATGGCAAAACTATATTTCTCATTTGTTCAAACATTACTTGGATGTTATGTTGATAACAAAGGTGATTATAGTTTGTCTGTTACAAAGAGTGTAATAATATCAATCACAAATCAATTAATAAAAATAACTAATGACACCGTTTATTATCAGATTGTTGATTTCTTGTATGATTATTTTATTGACATGATTTCGACGAAGGATGAAGATTTAAGAGAGATTCTTCGTTTATTATTCCATAAACATAGAACAATACAAACAAATGAATTAAAAAAAAATGATGAAATCTCATAATTTTATTTCATTCTTATATTTTAAGTTTTTTCATATGAAAAAAAGAAATAAATAGAAGCAATAAAAATCTCTTTTTAAAGAAAAAAAGAACTTTTTTCTGTTTCTCTCTTTCCCTTCATGCAACAAGAATGGAACCATCACCTTTTTGAAGGGTGTGTTTTTCTCCAACCACCTACTGAATTACAAGAAAAGTCTAATCCTATTCAGCCAAAATTTTCATTTCCTTCTTCTTTCAAAGCACCTCCAAATATTCATCTATTTCTTTATCCAGAATTACCAGAAACTAATTTTCTTCCTAGTTATTTTATTGTAACTTTTACAACACCATCAGGTACACAATATGGACATACATTACGAACAGAAAATGGGAGTATTTGTTTGATAAGTTTTTATTGTTGGGAAATTTTTTTTAGAAGAATTGTTATTCGTTCCCAGACATATTGGAAAAATAACTTTGAAGGTCTTGAAAAATATCTTAATGATATTTTAGAATCTCCAGAACGTCCTCTCTCTATTGAAAAAACTTTAGATATGGATGTTCCTATTGTCGTTGAAAAACTTCTTCTTTCTCAAGTTATGTTATTATTTAATTCTATAATATGTGAAAGAAGAATTATTGTTGTTGGTAGTAACTATGAAACGGTTACTTGTTTCATTTTATCAGCACTAGAACTTATTGAACCATTGTCTTGGCCTCACCCCATAGTTACGCTCTTACCACGTTGTTATAGTGAATTAGTTGACCTTCCAACTCCATTTATTTGTGGTATATCAACATACCAATTTTCATTAATGCAACCATTAACAAATAAAGTAGTTGTTGTCGATTTAGACAATGGAACAACTCGTTCAAATGATCCTCTTATGATACAACAAGATAAAAATTTATTCCCAGAATTCGCGACACAGTATTTAAGAGAAAGTTTAAAGACTGTTTTGATGGAAGTACCAAAACAAATACCAATCATGCTTAAACAAACATTTAATCAATATATTCTTAAACTACTTCAAGCACCAGAAACATTTATTTCATTAAAACATAAACGAGGAACATTAGTTGCTGAAATGGATATTAAAAAATATAAGAAGACATATAATTACAAAGCAGGAAGTAGAAAATTTATTGATTTTTTTTCTACAACTGGTGCATTTGATCAATACTTACAAAAGATAGAAAATGAAATGTTAAAAGGAGGTGGGCAAATAGTTGACCCACCTGAACCTAATTTTTGGGACTCATTATTCCAATTCAATTTTCCAACTGATGATCTCACTAAGCAAAGAGGAAAACAATATAAAATGCAATAAAATAAACTGATAATTGATTGTATGTTCTTTCAATTTTCTAATGGTTTAATATGAAAAATCGTAATATCATTTGTTCCAGCACTTCTCATATGAGCTGACCATGCACCTGTTCCTGGATGAGTGTATAAATACATTCTATTTTTATTAGATTTAATAGTGTATAACCCATAGGCTTTTTTAAAGAATAAATAAACAAAAACACTAAATGGTGCAAATTGACCAACATGAGTATGCCCGCAAAGCATAAGATCAAATATCCCTTTTTCACAAGTCTGTTTATATCCAAATGGACGGTGTTGTAAAATGATATTGTAAGTCTCAGAAGATGGTAATTGAGATACCATATTCATTTCTTCAACGAATTCTTCTTCTGTGTTACTATCATCAGTTCCAATTATGGCACAATTGTATTTTTCTTCTCTACTCATTCTATTTTGTAAAAGAGTAATTCCACATGCATTTAACATAAATGATAAATGTTCTATCCCTGTCATATAGTCATGATTTCCTGTTGACATGTAAACTGGACATTCATTTGTTAAAGCTTTAAATGGCATTAATTCTTCTGTTTGAACATTTGGAGAATCAGTTAAATCACCAGTAATAACAACAAAATCTGGGTGAATAGGAAGTATTTTTTTGACTATACGTTGTGAGTGTGAAAGGAATCTACTACCAATATGAACATCACTGATATGAACAAACTGTACCTCTTTTGAAACTTTAGGAGAGGTGAGTGTGATGTGTTTAAATGGAAAACGATGTCCTTGCCATAACGAATAAATGTCAAAAAGAATAGAACAAAGAATAATTAAACAAAATATAACGATTCGGTAATTATTTGGCATATAATTACCAGTTACAAATGACATAAACTTACCTCGATGATATAAATCATTTCTAAACAATGAACTACCAAATAATTTTGTTGAAATTAATACTATATTTATCACATCATAGATAAGAGAGAATGGTATCAAATTAAAAATACAGAGGTCAATAGTTGATGAATATAAATTAATTACTCTAAACCATTTACTCGTAAAAATGAAGTCACACCCAAAAATAATAAATGTTGAAAAAACAAAAAGATGTGGAATCACAAGGCTGATAATTAAAGTAATTGCAAAATCACGTCCAACATTTGTCAAGTCATTGTCATATGAAACAAAAGGTATTAACAGAACTAATCTTGATACTGTAATTGAGAACAAAAAAGTCATAAAAAAACACATAATGAGAGCAATAACAAAAAAAGTTGGAGACACTTTGGATTCTGGCATGATGTCTTTTATTTTCAGTTTATTCCAAGATGATTTTATTGTAAAGGAAAAGAAACGTCAACAAAAGTCGAAAGGTAATGAAGGATATACTAATGAAGATGGAATTAACTTGTTTTGCATGAAATTTTTTATTGTTTTTTTATTATGCAATTTAATAAGAATTATCATTGTTTGAAAAAGGATGAGCGTTAGACAAAAGAAGAAAAAAGGGGTTCAGTGAGGTTTTTGAAAAAGAAAGGAAAAAAAGTAACGAACGAAAAAGAAGTAAACCAAAATGGAAGACAAGAAACAAATCAAAGTCTTTGTTAAATGCCTTGAGAAAAACCAAACTACTATGTTTAAGATGAACTTTGATGATATTGCTGATAAGTTATATTTACAATGTTTTGAACAATTTCAAATGGAAATTAATGCTCCACTACGTTTAATTTGTAAAGGAAAGATATTAGACCCTCACAAAAGTTTGGAACAGAACGAAGTTTATGATAATTCTTTATGTTATTTGCATTCACCTGATATTCAAAGAACTCTAAGTATTGATGAAGATGCAATAAATGCGTTGATGGATGATGTAGCCAGAGATTTTGGATTAAGAAATAATCCTAGAATTATTCTTTATGTTAACAATCCTAATACAGGAGAAATGGTTCGTGTTGTAAGAACTCCTACTGTTGTAATCAATACTCAAAATGAATCTTCAATTAATACGACTAACTCACAACAGTCTCAAACTAACAACGAAACAAACAATGTAACGAGAACACAAGAAACTGAAGAACAACCAACATTTAATCAAATTATAGAACAATCTCTTCTAAATTTACTTCAAAACATCAATAACCAAAATTTTCAAGTTGTTCGTGCTAATCAACCAGAACAAAACCCTCTAGAAAATCAACAAAACTCCACAGAAAATCAACAAACTGTCGGTTCTCAAGTTATCAATACTACGAATAACAATTCACAAATACGACAAAACAATGACCAAAATGGACTTAGAGAAGAACAACAAAGAAGAGAAATTAACCAACCTCACATCAATCCTATTCCACCTTCAAGTCATAATAATACTATTTCAAATTCTAACAGCACTCTTTTAAATCAACTAAGGTCTTTTGATAATCAATTCATAACAAGACCAATCCCTACAATATCATTCCAAATATTAGATATGAGACCTCGACCTATTCCAATTGACAATTTACATACATTTCGAGGTAGTACAAGAACAGTACTACACTCAGTCGGACAAGAAAGAACGTGTCAACAAGAAAATTCAAGTACTACTCCTATCCAACCAAACAATAGTCATACAGAAGAAAAAATTAATAGGCTTCTTTTTGAATTATTTGTAACACTTATTTTTAATGAAAGAGAAGAGGATGTAGCAAAAGAAGTGATTCAATCACTTTCTACTATTTCAAATAATAAAGAAGAAATTATTGGCACCTTTATTAATGGAACAGCAACTCTTCTTACATCACTTCTAAGTGAATCAACAAATGAAATTAAGCACTCATTATTAAGAGATGTTTTAAATATTATTTACTATAATTTATATGAATTTTATTCAAATGATCCTCTTACTCCACAACAACTCCTTTATTATTTTAAGAAAGATATTTACGACATTATTGAACTAAACAAGAAGTATTCAATCAACAGTATCTTAGATTTGTTCCATCGGTTACTTCATCATATAGTTAGTCATGCTTCATTACCTCCAAAAGTTAATTCCATGATCTCTCCTTCAATAGAAACAGAAGAACAATTTTTAAAAGCAGTACAACGCTGTCATGAAGTGTTTAAATTGTAGATTAATCTAACATAATCCTTCATTCTCTATTATATTCATTTTCTTTATTCAACTTGAAATCATTCATATTTAAAGTTTACCTTATCTTTCTATTTTCAGAATTCACAAAAACTAAAAAACAAAAAAAGAAAAAAAAAGAAAATAGGACAAAAAAGAAAAAGAAAGTTAGAAAAGAAGCGTTGACCAATCAAATGCAAATATCTCTAAACCAAGAAATCTCAGAAAAATTATTATGGACAGTTGTTTAGTTCAAATCAAACAAATTGTTTGTTCAACACCAAAAAAGAATGGGAAACAAAATCAGTCAGAGATTAATGACATTCTTACAATGACTGGGATTACTGGAAAGGTTACATATGTTAAATTGTTAATTGAAAGTGTATTATCTGATGGAATTGGAAGAGAGTCATTTAAATTACAAACATTACGAGATGAAATTAACACTATAACACAGTCAAGCCAAGCAGTTTTATTTAAGAAAGAGTTAACAGCAATGAAACTCTCAAACACCCAAGTTAAATCATTTCGGCTAAATCCTTCTGGTGAATATTTATTTGGTATTCTTCCTAATCAACCCACGTCGTTAACATCTGCTTTGTTATTTGATTATTTATGCGAACATCCTGAAGAACGAATTGATAGAACTAATGCTTCAAATGCTAATATTTTTTCAATTTCATGGAAAACTCCAATTTCATTAGACCTATCACTTCCACTAATTCATACTATTTCAAAAGAGATTGTTGGTGAATTAGGTACTTCTTGTGTTGGTTCAAAAGATACATTTTCTGCTTTATTATCAAACATTTATGGTGAATCAATGACAGAACAACAAGTAGGAGAATTAATTGTTTTGTTAATCCAATGTATTGAACGTTCAACAAATGATTCATCGACAGTATCGGAATGGGATGCCGAAATTATTGGAACAGTATTAAAACCTAAATGTAAAAATTGGAGTATTATTGCTAAAGTAATGGACCTTCAAGGGTATGAATATAAATCATTAAATGCTATTATTTTATTAATTCGAATCTTCCAACAAATTGGTGATTTTCCATTTAATTCATTCTTTAAAGAAGAATGGAATAATGGAAGAGCTCAGGGTTGTGTTGTCCAAAAACTTATTCATATTGCATCACAATCAACTAGTGAAAGTCAATATTTAATGAAATATATTTGCTCTTTATATAATGTTGGTGTTGAGAGAGGTATAAGAGTTTTATGGGAACAACAAGGATTTGTAGAACAGATTATTGCTATTGGAGAACGAGCAAGCAGTGATTTTGATTCAATATATAGTTCTATTGAAGTTGTATTACCAATATTATGTAAATGTAAAGCAAGTGCAGGAAGACAACGTGCAGTATTGGCATTATTAAGAAATAATACAAAACAATATGCTGTTGTTCAGTCATTATGGAAAAATAATTCTCTTATTATTGCTCAAGGATTAAGAGATAGGTATATGGAAGATCCATCTTCAATAGATGATATTATTAATTCTATTGGAATTCAAGAATGTGCTAAAGTTCTTACTCAAATGAGGCCAACATCGTTTGCACTTGATATTGCATGTTTGTTAGTTAAAAAAGATGGATTTATTTTAGATAAATGGTTGATTGAACAAAGAAAATTAAGAGGAAGTGTTTTTGGTAAAGAAATTATTCAGTTCATTAAAGATAAACAATTACTAGCTAATGGAGTATCTCCATTTAAATTGGATTTAGAAATAGTAAAACAATTATTAGGTACTGCTTCTTCCTGTGGTTCTAGAAAAGAAGCAAATGAATTAGAACAACAATTTTACACCAAAACACCAAAGAAAGAGACAATTCCAGGACGAGCAAATGAAATTTTTGGAGATTATTTCAAAGGGAATTATACAGTAGAAGCAATTGTTAATGTTATTATTAAAATGCGTGATAGTCAAGAAACATCAGATAATGATTTATTTGCTTTCTTCATTAAAACATTATTTGATGAGTTTAAAAGAATTAGCGATTTTCTTAAAGTTGATGTTGTTATTCAATTTGGGAATTTATACGGTGAAATAATTTCTAAAGGTGTATTAAAGAATTGTGCTTTAATTCATATTTTAAGAGTTATATTATGGGCATTAAGAGAACCTATTTCGTCTAATTTTTTTACTTGTGGATTAAATGCACTTATTAGATTCAAAAATCGTTTACATGAATGGCCAACATACTGTTATTTATTAAAAGAAATTAAAAGTATTGAAACACAAGACCCTCAATTATATAGAACTATTTGTGAAAATGCAAATAGTAAATTTGCAATTGTATTAACTCTTATTCAAAAATTATACCCTCGTGTTTATCCTCAAATAATGTTAGATTCAAAAAGTGTTTCAGTTATTAGGTCTTTATGTGGATGTTTTGAGGATATATCATCTATGAGTATAGAACAAATCAAGAAAGAATCCCAAAACTTGTTAAATACTTTTAAATCAACACAAACGAATGAAATGATTGAAACCTCATTATTTATGATTGCTATTACAAGAGAGTCGACACAACCAAAATGTATTGATATTATACAATCATTTGGATTCTCTTTGGATAATCTAAATTCATTTACTATTGAAATGATTAATATTTTATTAAAAAGAAGAGAATATGATAAACAAACTGCATCATTATTTGAGTCATTAGGTTCTTTATTAGGTCTTCTCACTATTGGAATGAATAAACCATTACGGTCCAATAAATTAGTTCCTAAATCATTATTAACAGACCAATTAACAATTGAAAATTTTGATGTTATGTTAGAATTTGTTGTTCATTTCTTATTCTCTTCTAATAAATCTGATATATTCACTCCAAATAATCCTTGGATTGTTCCATTACTTCAAGTTGTATGTGAAGTTTCTTTATCTCCTGAACTTATGATTCATCACAGTTCAATAGAAAAATTACTTCAGTCACTTCATATTTCTGCTAAAGACTATCTTGAATGTCATCCATTACGTTCTTCAGCTGAAGATTCAATTGATAAATTACGTAAATTTGCCAAAGATAGAAACAATGGAGATGAAGGTATTTTTTATGAGTTTGTAGAAAATAAACAATTGATTCCTGAAAAGACTCTTAAGCAAGTGTTATTATCAGAAAAGTCACTGTGTTATGTTGAATCTCTTAAGTCTATTCCAAATATTCAATTACCTGAATGTTTGATTTGTCCATCTTTATCTTTAGATCAATGGTATATTATTATTGTATGTTTCCTGGATTTTTCATTACAAGATATAAGTAAAACAACTACTGTAAGTATGAACGCTATTATAACAACTGTTATTCAATTAGTTCAAAAAGATTTTGCAATGGAGACTGATATTAATAAAATTTCAGAAGCTACTAATCGTGTATTTAATATTGCTCAAAAATTATCACAATATACTTGTAGAAGTTGCTTAGATACTAAACTTTGGAAATACATTACTCCTTATGTTAATATTGCTGTTAAACAAAAAGAAATTTCTAAACCTATTGAACAAATGAAAGAAATTGTAATGAATAGTCTTCAACCTCAAATAGAAAAAGCTGTTTCTATTAAATTGGAAGAACTTAAAAAAAGTGCTAAACGACAACTTGAACAATTTATTCTTCAAATAACTCCTGAACGACAAGCTGCTATATCTAGTAATAATAATAAATTTGTTGCTAAAGGATTTGAATACCTTAATGATGCACCTCAATTACCTCCTAAACTTCAAATTGCATATGGTGGTGTTACTAATTATCAAATGGAGACATATGCTTTAGGAGTGACAAATGAAACAAAACAACATTTAGATGATAAATTAGTTAATTTTGTTCATCAACCACTTCGCTTTGATACAATTGAAAAATACGTTCAATTATTAACACCTGAATGTACAGAAAAAACTATTAGTAAACTTATTACACAATGCATTAATAAAGAAAATAAAGATTATTGTATTCGAACAATGGAAATTATTGGAATTATTTTTATTAATAATAAAAAACAACCAAATCGTTGTTGTGAATTACTTTCTGAAATATTTAATGAAGTTTGTAGTATCTTTGAAAAGAATTATAATACTTCTTCATTTAATCCAGAGATTTATGCAACAACACTTTCTTCATTAATAGAAATGCTTATTGAAAAATCATTAAATGTCATTGATACTATCTTATTAATGGATCATTTTATAACTTTCTTCCAAAAATTACATCCACGTCAATTTCCAAAATTCACTTGTCAATGGATTGAATTATTCTCTCATAGAAGTTTATTACTTAGTCTTTCTAAACCTTCTGAAAAGAAAAATACAGTTCTGTCTATGTACTTCGATTTATTTATGAAATATTTACAATTTGTTCAACCAATATTAACTTTAAAAGTTCATATTAGTAAACAAATATACTCAGCAACACTTATATCAATCCTTACATTAAGAGAATGTTTCCCAACATTCTTATCATTCTTTGCTTTACCATTGGTATCTGCTATTCCTTATACTGCAGTGTCTTTAAGACTCCCTATATTAACTGTTGTTTCTCACGAAGATAACTATTCAGATCATTTTGAAACTTTAAAAGGAAAGATTCCTCTTGAAATACAAAAAGTATTAAAAAAGGGTGATATTCTTTCAATGTTACCATTGATCAAAACACCTTCAGCACTCCCTATTGTTGTTGAATTATTTACAAAAAATTCATTAAACCTTTTAGAAGGTCTTCTGAAATTATGTACAGAACCTCAACGAATAGAAATTATCAATGCAGTTGTTGATTTAATGAGACTTCAAACAGAAACAACTCAAGTGATGAAAGATTTTATTTCAAAATTAATTTCTTTAAATATTGAAAACTTAAATGAAATTATATTAAGGGTTTTAATAGAACGGTCATTCGGTGAATATCATCAAGTTGGTGCTATGAAAGCATTAGAGTCGTTAGTTCAAAAACACCCTCAATTAATCTATTTAGCGAAACGTAAATCAACTATTGTAGCTCAAAGATTATCTGAACTTTGTTAAAGTAATAATTAATTGTTATTCATTTTCCATCTCATTTTATTTATATTTACTCTGTCCTTTACTTCTCTCTTTGTCTTCAAATATTCTATTTGAAACTAGTTGTTAAGTCAAATAAAAACAAATACTTAATTTAATTGGATAAATGGACATAATGTTATTCTATTGTTTTAAACAACTAATTCTGTCAATGAAATAACAAAAAAACTTTCTCTAATACTTCTAAAAAAATATAAATAAAAAAGTCTTTATGTTTGTGGTTCTTCATTCTTGTAAAAGTTTTCTACAGTTATGTCTAATAACCTTTTTTTCTATTAGAGCATATCATTTCTGAAGTTAAAAGATAACCCTTCTCCAATAAAAAAATGATACTATATCAAATACTAACTTTTACAAAAATAACGTGTTTAGTTCAACATCCCCTTCATATCACAGAACACGGAAAACATGGTTTTTAATCATACAAGTAAAACAGTGACTTTATGCTTTAAAAATCTAGAAGATAAAACACAATATTTATTGTACCTAACATAATAATTCAAACCACTTATAAGTAATATTCTATTTTTCTATTAATCAGAATCTATATTTAGTACAATCCCATAGCCATGGTTGATGAAAAGTCGTAGTAGGTGTGTTAATAAAGAATATTGAAATGAAAGGACTAATGAACTGAGTTATTTTTGAAACACTGAGATGCAATAACATTAATCTATTAAATAACTATAAAAGAATATAAAGAGAACTGATAAGATGGAAAAAAAGAAACCAATCTAATCTATTAATAATAAAATATTTTTTAAAAATCTTTTTTAGATTTTTTGATAAGCGTCATTTAAATTTTATTCTATGTCTCTTTCTCTTGAAGAACAAATTAAGTCTATCAAAGAGGGTCGTTTAAAGATGAACTTGTTAATGAAAAGTCTGTCAAGTTCACTTTATAATTTTAAAAAATATGACCAATCATTTATTAATACTCAAAAAGGATGGAAAGAAAGCGATAAGTGGATAGAAACAATGTTCGACCGAACGGATGAACTCTTTTTAAGACGTGGTCGCATAACCAGTCATGTAC